CGGGGCGTACTTGGCACGACATCCACTACAAGGAAGGGGTGCAGGGTCTGTACTTGAACCACAGATGGGTGTCATTGTCCGACTTGAAAAAAAAATGATAACCTACGAGTCGGGAAACAAACATTTACAAGTCCGATTGCCATTGTCCCTTCAACCGGATACACCAGTAGAGATAATTACAGCAAAGTCTCAATCCAATGGTTAGAGTGGCTCATGGAGAAAAGTAAACGCAGGGGAAAACCAATCTTTATTCAACATGCGCTCAACAAAGGAGAATACCGTATACCTGACACCAACCACAGATGCGATGGGTTCGTAGAAAAAGAGAACGGAAAAAGCATCATTTACGAGTTCTATGGGTAAATATTTTCAACACATAAAAACAATTTTTTTTAAAAATAAATTTGCCCCTACCTGCCCCTAAAAAGGGAGGGGTGCCGCGCGGCGGTAACATATGTAATTTTTTTTTCTTTTGTTTATAGCTGTGCCTATCATGGTTGTTTATCGTGTTTTAACCACGACCGGTTTACCATAAAACACCCATCTACGAACCAGTCGGTTCATGAATTATACGACATGACCAAACGACGGGAAAGAGAACTGAAAGCACTGGGTTATGATCTGGTCGTTATGTGGGAGCATGACTTTGACTACCAGTTAAAGAAAAATCCGGCATTAAGACAATTCGTCTCCACCTTAGATCTTCAGGATCGACTTGATCCGCGTGACAGTTTTTTCGGTGGTCGCACAAATGCCGTGAAGCTGCATTATAAAGCCACTGAGAATGAAACGATCCAATATTATGACTTTACCAGTCTCTATCCTTGGACGAATAAGTATTGCAGATACCCCGTGGGTCACCCGACCATCATCACAGAGGATTTCAAGGACTTGTCTGAATATTTCGGAGTGGCAAAGGTGACCGTTCTACCACCCCGGGGACTGTACCACGCCTGTCTTCCGTATTTATCCAATCAAAACCTGAAATTTCCCCTGTGTAAAAAATGTGCTGACACCGAAAATCAAAATGAATGTTATTGTTCAATAGATGAAAGATCCATTACGGGTACATGGTGTACACCAGGAATCCAAATGGCAATTTCAAAAGGATATCAAATCTTAAAAATATACGAAGTTTTTCATTTTGAGCAGTCATCCCAATATGATAGGGTATCGGGCACGGGGGGTCTTTTTGCTCAATATGTGAATACATTCTTAAAAATCAAACAAGAGGCCTCGGGGTTTCCTACTGAGTGTGACTCGGAGGAGGCAAAGATTAAATATATAAGAGAATACCAAGAAAAAGAAGGCATCACGTTAGAATACCATAAAATTCAGAAAAACCCCGGTTTACGGTGTTTAGCCAAATTGTGTCTAAACAGCTTCTGGGGGAAATTTGGTCAAAGGTTAAATGTGAAACAGTCTATGTTTATTCATGAGAGTGAGGCCGAGGTCTTTGGTCTCCTGGTCTTCATGATTGTCATTCTGACCACAATTGTCATCATTCCGTAATCTTCTCAGGTGTTCGTATTTTAGTTTGGGTATTAATATCATTTCTTTTTTCAAATTTTATCTGATCCGAGGAAAATCCCGGACAATTTTCACATTGTGTCAAAGGACACAGTACAATTAGAATGGAATGAACACCCTCTTTTCACACCCTTCGATAAAAAGACCAACATATTTTTGGCTTCATTTACCACAATGTGGGCTCGTTTAAAATTGTATACTGTATAGGGGAATAATTTCACGGGTTGTAATTTTCACGGTTTTCTCTCCCCTGACACGATCGCGGTTTGTTGAATTCGCGGAATCGGTATATAATAAAAGTTACCTCCCTTGTCTATATCCGTTTTATCCAGAACGACATTATTCACTTAAAAAAAACAGGGTAGGTTTATATAAAATACTTAGATTTAATAATTAATTGACGACTAATTAAAACAAGTGCAGTTAATAAAAGTCCTTGACTATAAACGTCGAATGACTTTCTTATATACTATTACGATGAGTGCATGTACACCCCAAGATCTTCTTTCCGAAGGGATAATACATCGCGGCGAAAAACCACTGGACGGTAAGAAGTGTGTTAATGTAGGTCGAAGAAATAATATCCTTCCACATCTTCAGCAAGTTCAATAGTTATTTGAATGATTTTTTAAAAACAAAATGTCGATAAAAACTAATACGCATAATAATGCAGGTAACAAATACACGTGGTCACATAGTTATGCACGGGTAATCAAAACCCATGACCCACGTGTTTTGATTGATGCATCGTGGGCTATTAAAACAGCTTTTTAACAAATACGGGTTTATTATCTGCTGATCTAAATTAGAGTAACGCGTGATAATTAAAATGATTGAATGACAAGTGCGACTCGTAATTACTGAAATGACCATGTAATACATGTATATATACCTATCGTAGTCTAATCTCAAATTTCCAAATATAACATGGAAGTTATTGAAAACTTATTCACTGTTTCTTGAATTCACGGATTTATTAACACCGTGAATATAGCGAATATTAACACCGCGAGTTATTTTCCCCCTATACAGTAACGTGCTTGATGTGTTGGGTAATAGGGTGTTGTACTTTGATACGGATAGTGTCATCTTCAAGACCGATAAGTCGGATGACTTGAGCTATCTCCCCATCGGTAATTATTTGGGGGAAATGACGAATGAAATCAATCCTGAAGATGGTCACATTATCGAATTTGTTTCAGGAGGCCCCAAAAATTACGCTTATCGCACTCTGTCTGGTAAAGAGGAATGTAAAGTTCGGGGTTTTACTTTGAATTGGATGAACTCAAAACTGATCAACTTTGGTGCCATGAAAGACATCATTTGTACGGCAAACGATAGACTAATTGAGATTCACAATCCTTGCAAAATATCACGAGACAAAAGAAAATTGCTTAATCGTAAAGAAAATAAAAACTATCAAATGGTGTATACCAAACGTAGATTGTTATCGAATTTAGACACCTTGCCATTTGGATTTTAAGTAGTGGAAAAAATAAACAATAAAGTCATTTTCTTGTAAAATTGTATTAGAAAAGCTTGTATACAATAAAATGTTGAATAGAAAACATTGATTTATTTTGTTATACAATTAATATGTAAGCCACGGAATGTTTTTCTGACGTTTTCGTTTTGTTCTGGAAAGACCTAGAGGTCCGGATACTGTTTTTATCTTGCTGATATAAGCACCTCCTGATTGTAAGTCAGGAATTTCATTCCCTGTGCTGGGGTTTGCTTCTTGAGGACTTTTACACACGTTGAGTGACTTGTCTTTGGTCTCCTGGTCTTCATGATTGTCATTCTGACCACAATTGTCATCATTCTGTAATCTTCTCAGGTGTTCGTATTTTAGTTTGGGTATTAATATCATTTCTTTTGCCATTAAGTTTATCAAAATGTTGAACAATCGGTTTTAGTATAAGAGACAGTAACTGAACGTGTTTTGATAATATCTGTCGTTTTCGTTTTGAACTTGTTTCACGGGATCCTAACATCCGAATGAATGGCTTGTAAGGTGTAAGTTGTCTTATATACTGTTTCTTCAAAGGGTATGTCCCGGTGTAAATATTGAGGGCTATTTCACTGATTACATCGCATTGCTCATCGGTTAACGATTTGATAACGTGTTTCTGCTGAGCAGTGTCTATATACAACAAAAACCGGAGAAGAGCAATGTGCTTCCGTACTCTTTGCTTCATGATTGTCATATGAGCATGACCATTTGTTGAAAGTATTTATAAAGGTTTATAAATAATTATGTCTTCATCAGGGAGAATGTGAGATCGGAGTTGATATTCTTGGTTTTGGGTGGGTTCCAGACACACGTGAAAGTAACCAAAGTTAGGACGTGTGGCTAATTCGTAAGCCGCTTTAAAAAATGGTACATTTCCTGGTAGGATTTGGGATCCGAAGGTGATAATTTGCCGTGAATCCCGGTAATTCTTAAATAAAATCACATTAAGGCAGTTAAGAGAAATAGTTCTGGCATATTTTCCGGGTGGATATAGATTCTGAGAAAGCATCACTGTGGTAATGTTGCGATGATGTGAAGTCACCGTGAATAAATGTACACAGTCTTGAGATTGTGCAATCTTTAACATGAGATCATCTAAAACGATGATAGTATGACGCACATCTTCTGTGTACTTCTCTATATCTTCCTTTGTGGGTAAACCCTGATGTAATACAAGAGTTGGTATAGACTGTTCCATATCGTGGAACATATCTTGATGCTCGGAAAAAGCATATATTATTTTATCCACTGGCATTGTAAACATCTCATTAGCTTTTTCTAGCAATTGTTTTGTTAAATAAGTTTTTTCGGTCTGGGTATTTCCACATATTAAAATAGTAGTTGGTGCAGAAAAAGGAAGTAAGGACTTTGTTTTCCACCACTCGGTGTCGTTGACTTCCATGTTATGTCTTCGTCAACCTCTGAGATTGTGATTTTTTAAGCATGAAAAAACCATATTTATAGGATAAAAACACCCTTTTTTCAATTTGATTGATTTTAATTTAAAAAATATTGACATACAAAGTTCTGTACAAAATGATCATTGGATTGATAATCATGAGAAAATAAAGTGTATAACTGTATCAGTGATTTTCTAAAACACAATCGTACAATTAAAAACATTAATACATAATTTCCACACAGGTTAGAGTTTATGGATTGAAGTCTTATATTTCTCATATCACAATGTTTACTATTGTTTGCAATAAAATCTCTTATATAGTGGTTGTATGCAGACAATGGCTTCCCGAGACTGTCGAAAAATTCTGATTGATATGGACTGTGTATGATAATGGCTAACCAATGTTCACCAGAAAATGGAAGCGGTTGATTGTTTACTATGAACGCACTAGGATAATGTTGAACATGTTTTGGTAGGGTATTACTGGCATAAACTCCTTTTACGACTCTCCGTAGATGGGGATCCATTTCAACTAGATCGTTGAGCTGTTTAAATTCATGGTTGAATGTAGTTAATGTCACGTGATCTGTCTATTTCTAACAAAGAGGAGAAGGTGGCAAACACCAGTACGTTGGCAGCTTTGGTTGTTGCTTGTTTGAATTTCAATTCCAGTCTGGTGTTACCCCTACGGATCAGGTTAAGATATTCCTCACCAAATCCACACGGATCTATGGTAAACACAAAGAGGGAATATCCATTACCAAAATTACTTCTGGTGATGATGAGACCCTCATCTCGGTTCCATTTTCCACAAGCTTCAAACAGTCGTGTATAGGCTGTGGAAAAATGTCCTGCCGTGAAATCCGTCTGTAGGGGTCTTCCTGGAACACTTTCTCCATTGATGTATACTCCCACATCAGTGAGGTCGAAATTTTCAAAGTTGAAAGGATTTTTGGTGTAATCTCCATTAACGGCTTTTTGATCAACCAAGGCCACAACAAGGCGATCCGGTATTGCTTGTGGGAAAATGTTATCCCAATAAAATTCGGTGGAGCCTTTTGGGATAGTGTTCATCTTTAATTCATTCCTAGTGATGGGGTATTTGACAGGGGTCGTTTCTATTTGTTTGCTATGATTAAGTAGAACACCCTGATCTACGCGGACTTTAGCTAATTTGTAGACAACATCCTGTAATTCCAACTTGTAGGCTGGGGAAGCGGCAGCTGACATAATTACGAAGGGTGCACTGGATCTAAACAGTTTGATGTAAATATCAACCCCATTGATTAAGTATTTGTCTATGTCAAATATGTCTTCCATTAAATTTCCTTCTAATTTAAAGGTTTTACTCTGTTGTGTGTACCCGTAACGCAGGACTAATCCAGCGTTCCCACCGTTGTAAGCGTTAGCGTCACCTAAGTTGCCTTCATCCTTGAAAAAAAGCTCCGATTGTTTTTGTGAGGATAGCTCGTCTCTACCGCTGAACAATATTGTTTTCAAATAACTTTTCCAGGGGTAGTTGTTCGTATTGAAAGATACTAGCTTGTTGTTTAGATAAACATCCATCTGAGAAAACATACTTTGTAGTGGTAGATTGATGATACCAGTTTTTTCGTTGGCTGTCAAGGAGGTACCGTCCGCTTTTAAAATCCGGGCTTTGATATATAATCTACTTCGTTTTAAATCAATATATTCCGCTCCAGCCCCAGAAATTACCATCTCAATGGGACTGTCCGCACTGAGGCTGGAAATGGGTCTTGCTTCCGTGAAATATACTTTTTCGACTGCTACTTGATTGGTAGGAGAGGCAAATAATGAAAGTTCCATTGGTTGAGCAATATCTTTATCGTCCCTGCTTAAAAATGCCTTTTTTTTTAATTCGTTGAATATGTTCCTGTAATTATCTATTGTAAGTACTTTTGTCTGTGTAGGTCTTGTTTTTTTCAGGGTTTGTTTCTGTTTGAAATATTTTTCTTCTTGACTCGTGTAGATACGTTTTGTTTTTTCCTCCGCTGACTGGTGGTTTTATTCTTTTTCTTGGATGATGTTAACCGTTTCAGTTCTTTTAAAGGACTGACAGATGGTTGTTTATGCCGGCTTTTTATACCCCTTTTTAAGTTGACATGGGGAATTCCCTTTTCAACATCGTTGGTATGTTCTACGTGCGCACGTTCTTCTACAGCTGCTATAGGTGATACTTGTGTGACAATTTGTTGACTTTCCAGTTGTGAGTGTGGCCTTATAGGGATGATATATGATTTCCGTTTTTTCATACCCCTACCTATTTGCTTAGGTTTATATTTATAGGGGTTAAATTTTTTTCAGCCATGTTCTTGTAAAATGCTTCCCATATTTTAGGATCACTCACATACGTTTGACTGTTCATCATAAAATGTAAGGAAACTTTTTGAAGTGTAGTGATATGTTCACCGCTCCGTTGAGAAATGAAACTAATTTACCGTCTCTGTCCGTTATATACAATGATATCTGCTGTATTTGAGCTATTTTTACCGGAATATAATATGGTAATGTAAAAATCATATGACCGGTTGTTTTTTGTTCTAAATAAATCCTCACCAATAGAGGCATTTCTTTACTTCCGACAATCGTTTCCTCACAAATATTACAGCATACAAAGATTTCGTTTACTTTCGATGTTGTAAGCCAGCTTTCCGCTTTGAATTCGGTTAGAGCAACTGTCCAGTACCCATCAAATTGAATTTGTTTATTCAATTGGATTGTAAAATTGTTGGGGTTGTTTTGAAAATATTCAGAGCTGTCTTCAGACGATAATAACATACGAATGCTCATCGTGAAAATGAATATGATTCGTTGTTGATGAAGTATTTATTTGATTTTTTCGAGGGAACTTTCAGAAATCCACGAGTTGAATTTATTAGGCCATCCTTCCCATTTTACAAACACTTCCTTAGTGCGACCTCTCCGTCGTTTTTTCAATACTTTCTCGACCCTGTATAAAATATCATCTGGCTTGACTACCTTCTGAAGTTCTGATTGATAAAATGTACCATCAATTAAGTCGTCTGTTAAATCTTTTAATTTATAGACAGGAATTCCATCTCTCAGGTAACGTTGACTGACTTTAAAATATTCCTCGGTCCATTTTTGTTGATAATCTCTTTTAAAGGGGTGTTTTATCTCTGTTATACGTACATTATCTCCTATTTTTAGATTGTATGGATTTATGTTTTTCTTTTTTACATTTTTTAGTAAAGGTTTCTGCAAGGTAGATTTCTTGTCCTTGGGTTTCTTCTTTTTCGTTAGGTAGCTCGTGTATCTGACTTCTCCAGCGTTGTTCTTATTAACAGATGCAGGTGAATATCCCCCTAACATCCTGTGTGGTCTGTTATTGTAGGTTTTTACTAAGTCTTGTAAAATATTCGTATACTTATAAGTTCTATTTTTTAAAAAATAACGATACATCATATTCTTCATGGTGCGTATGACTCTTTCCGCATAGTTGGCCTTGGTTTCGTTCTGTGTGTACAAAATATTTACATTTTCTTTTTTCAAAAATGCCTTAAGCCAATGGTTTTTAAATTCACTACCCTTATCTGTTCGCATGGTTTGTGGTTTTCTCCCCTTTTTAAAGATTATATTCAATCCGTTCATAAATATTTTGATGTTGTTTATTTTTTAACGGTACTATAAACAAATACCGACTAAATATATCGATTAAACCAACAAAAATTTAAAACCACCATTGTGACTGGAAATGTTACTAACATCGGCTAGGTCTCCATCCCACATGGAGTCGATCGTGTTAACTACAACCCTTGAACGTGGAAATGTTAGGCGGGTGGGTTTAAGTAGACTGTAGGCGTCCTCATTGTTTAGAAATTGCTTAATTTTTGCTCTACTGATTTTGTATTTTCCATCTTCTTTGACTGCTTGATATAACTTTTCAGGACCTGATAATGCTCCTTGATTACCAGGGGTATAATACAGTTGTCGTAAATAACCCGTGTAGTTTGACATTCTGACAATAAATGATTGTGTACCCTCAAAGAGAGATATATAAGGGAAAAAACAAGAAAGAAATGTGTTTTTATGTCTTATAATTATAAGAATTCATGCTCTTAATTAAGGTGAAATAAAGTACATACAACTCATTTTACATGTAGCATAGCTTGTGTTTATAGGTAAACAAGGTTGATGATTATAAAAGAAATTCATATGATAAAAGTATAGTGTTCTTTTATTAACAATCCATATTGACAACCAGTGAGTTTTGGGATTCACTTTGCTCAGTTTCCATAGGCTTTTCTACCCGGGCTTCATACCCAAAAGGGGAGCATTCTGGGCAACTTAGTACCCCCAACTGATTTTGATGGGATTCGTTGAACATACATATTTGAGCGTCATTCAGTTCAGGAACACTCTCTCGTAATTCACAGACTGCCGATTTAAGTCTATCAAATTTATCTCTGGTTAAATTGATTCCTTTCTTTGTCGGAATTGGTCCATTTGCATCATCTGGTTTCCAGAAGTGTCTAATGTCTACTGTTGGGAAATCGGGGGATAGGGAAACGTAGACACCACCACCGATGTGCCACTTCATCTCCTCTTCCTGACTCCGATGGCTCTGTAGATATTCTTCTATTTCATCCAGGAGACATTCAAATTTCAACCAGCGGGGTAGGGGGAAATATACCCCTTTCTTTGTTGGAAAGTGAAGACCATTGGATTCAGAAAAGTGACGGATATGTATCATAATTTCCCCTTGGTAAGGCGCGGCTGTGAGATATAGTTTAGTGGGGTTGTCTAAATTGATCCTACATCGGGGCTCCTGTAACTGCGGACTTTGAAGATGTGAGTTACTTGATTCAACTTTTTCTGTCTTTTTTCGGCGGTGTTGACAAGAAAAGACCTTGCCAAGGATAACTTTTTTTCGTATTCAGAGGGCTCACTCTCTTCCTTAATCAACAGTTTGGCCACGTCATTTTGACCAGCTTTTAAAAGTGCCCTCTTAAGTCCATGGAAAGCTTTCGGCCCTTTTTTCAAAATGATGCTGAGTAGTTTTCGGTTACGACTGTAGGTAGTTTTCTCAAACTGTATCTGTTGGTGCATTTCGTCTGTAATAACATGGTCTTTCATGAGGTATCCAGCTACAGGAATGGCCTTCATTTCCTTCACCAGTGTGGAGTAATTGGATTTGATGAGGTTTTGCTGGTATTGTTCCATGTCTTGTTTCGATTCGTCTATAGCTTGACAAAAAGATTTGTGAGTGTGATCACATCTCTACCCGTATTTATACAGGGAAGAAGGGGTTCCGAGATAAAAAAAAAAAAAAATGTTATTAAAACACGTGACATTGATGATCATATTGTGACTGTGACTAACACTTTGTCGAGTTGATACAGTGAAAATGTGATAAGTTGGTCACGTTGTGACTGTGATTAACACGTGTATAGTTAAAAAAAAGGTTGATGTATTAGAAACACGTGTTTATGTTGATCACGTTATGATTTCACGTGTATACACTCAAAGATAAAGTTGGTGTTTTAAAATACGTGACTATGTTGATCACGTTGTGACTGTGACTCATACATGTATAGTCTCAATAAGGTTGATGTTTTAAAACACGTGAGTGTTGATAACGTTGTGAGAGTTAGGTTCAAAGGTCGATGACTGTTCTAGATAATTTTCATCCAGGTGCAAGTATGTCAGGTTTCCTAACTTTTTAATTTTTTCATAGTTTGTTAAAAGTAAATACACAGATAAAATCTGTATATTATCATTGAATCGTATTTTCTTCTTTTGTCTTTTAGGCATGGTTATATGAATGGGGGTTTAGAACGTTATTTATATTTTGCAGGCATAACCTTTCGTTTTAAAATGTACTCGTCACTCCCCCAGCTGTCTGCAATGTCGTATCCTCTTTGAGTATTTTCTTTAAAGTTATTAATGCAATCTTTTTTCTTATCAAACCAGTCCCTTTTGTGTAATGTCCATTTTTTGCTATCTTTTTTAAGCGCGCTCCAGGCTAAAATTTCCCACTTGTATTGTGTTTGTGGATATTCCATTCTTGTTTTTTTTTTTATAATGGTGTAAAAATTATAAGTTTATATATGTTTTATCAGGGATGTTAAGACTGGCCATTAGTGACTGTGACCTTTATATTAACCTGTGAGGTTACTGAATGTGGTGTGTCGTTAGTGACTGTGACCTCTTTATTGACCTATGACGTCAGTGACTATGACCTCTACATTGACCTGGGTGTGACCTCTGACGTCATTGACTGTAAAGTGACTGTCCAGTACCGTATTACTACTTCTGGTGTGCATCCAAAGCATACTGACGAACTCACAGACGAGAGATATCGCCACATGAAGAATTTCCTGAACTCCCCATGTGTTGTTGGTTTAGGGGAAATTGGTTTGAATCATACAGTTCCCGTAAAATTGTGGAGATGCTAGGAAAATGTTTTTCGGAAAGCACTCTCCCTTGTACGTAAGGACAAAGTTTTGATCTTGGATTTGAAAGAAACTCCTTCAGACAGGATTGGCATGGATGTACCATGGACATAAATAGGCTGATCGTACTCGCAAATCCTCTGTAGAATTTGCATGCAACATGCGTGCACATCCATGCCAATCCTGTGTGAAGGAGTTCATCTCAAATGTAAGATCAAACCAGCGGGCGATATGTGAATTAAGGGTATACTTAAGAAGTAATAACAAAATTCTTATTTCAGAGCTAGATGATGATAGAGACTCCGATTATGAGAAATTACCTGAAGAAAGTTCTGGTAGCTATAAAGGTTGTTGCACTCATTCTTGTCTGTACACATTGCTCATTACTATTTTTGGTATCCTAAATTAGTAAAACTTTTTGTTATTGTTCATATTATTATCAAATGTTGTAATAATTTCAATACAAGGAAACTAGTAACTGGTCGTTTTTCATTAAGAATTATTTCTTACCTAAATGTGAGTTATACAAAGTCCATCGAATTTTCACAGATGATGATCTGGAGCTGAAAGCTAGAAAGGATAGAAAAGAAAACGGAGACAAAAAAAGGTAAATTTTTAACTCCTAAAATCTAATCTACAATGTAATACCAGTATACTGTACCATGTTTGTGTGATCCTGATTAAGTTAATGGGTTTTTTTGGTTATTGTTAATATTACAAAATACTGTGATGATTTTAATACACAAAACAAGTATATGATCAATGTTCATTGAAAATTTTATTTACCTGAATGTAAGGTCGTCTATTTTCATATGATGATCCGAAACCCAGACATAGGAAAGAAAGAAAAAGAGGAAGAGACAAAAAAGGTAAACTTGGGTATAATGTACAGAAAGATGTTACTATTTCTAACCCTAACCCCAAACTAAATTTAAAAATATTTCTTAAAGCTTCATTTAAACTTAATATTATTGAAGCTGGAAAAAGTTAATGGCAAAGCTTTTTTGATTTTATTTTGAGTTGACCCTCACACACATATACCCACATTCCCACGCCCGCTAGATCCGTGCAATTTATTAGGAAATGAACTTTTTTTTTTAACCTAGTTATCAATTCGGCTAGAGGAGTCCATCTTTTTACACGTGTGAAATTTAATCTTTAATATCTTTATATAGTATTTTTCTATTTGCATATCTAAAATTTTTATTTCATTGCAGAGTAACACAAGAAAAAACTTGCTAAAAGCAGAAGGTAAGAGACAAGAAAGAAAGGAAAGCTGCCTTATCAACTGAACGAAGAATTAAATCTGCTGCTTTAAGCATGATCTTTAAGCAAAGGAAGAGAGTCACGACTCTTAAGCTATTAGATATGTCTGTGTTGTATGTTATGAAGGAAGAGGGTCAACAGAGGCAACGTATTAAGTTTACGGGGAAAGATTTCCTCAGGCGAGTGGAACCAGGGGAAACCATTCTTTCCCTACAGGAATTAAAAAATCTTCAGAATGTAGAAGACCGATACATCCCAAAGGTGAAAGAAGGAAATCACAATGGCAACGCTATCAAAAATGCCCACTGGTCCTGGTGTCTCGAAAACTCTGGCACAAGAACAATTAGAAATACTGACGTCTCCAACATTACAAAATGCAACTCCGTCTTCTTCCTTGACAGTGAGTATGCTGTATACCCTAAATTATAAGGTATGTTTTATTTTGCATGAACTGACTTTTTTCATCTCACTTGTTCCATTCACCTAAATTTTTACCTTTTTAAAAGATGTTTCTACGCCGAGAAGGAAACGTGGAGGTGGTAGATGTCTCGGAGGTGCCCGAGGAGGTGCTTGAGGATCGAGTCAAAGTCACGAGAAACAGGAAAAAAGAAAACACTGTCGAAAAAGACAGGTGAATGGCTAAAATTGAATTGCTCTATTTTAAGCAATAGCAAATAAAAACGATGTTTGAACGATTATTAATTTACAGTTTGTGTTTAATTTAAATCGGTTTATTTTTCAGTGAGAAGAAGAGCGAAAAAAACAAAGAAATAAACTCAAGTGATTTATCATCGAGTGATGCACAAGAAAATGACTTCGAATGTGTAAGGGTTTTTGTTTGTGTATTGTTTAACGTCCCTCACAATAATTTTTCACTTATATGGAGACGCCACCACTCGCCGGTGGAGAGCTGCAAATTTTGACCTATACTCGGCACTTAAGGCCATTGAGCAGTGAGGGATCTTTTTCGTGCCAGCATCTACTGCATAACGGGACCTCGGTTTATACGGTCTCATCCGAAGGACTGGTCTCCACGTCCCCCAGTGGGATTCGAACCCGCGACGTAAGGATCAACTCCTTACTCCGCGACTCTAGAGTGGATACTCTAACCACTGCGCCACGCGGGCGACAATGTTTCTGATGATCCTGTGCCTTATTTATTTTAATGTCAGCATATTTATTTAAGACAAATATTAACATTCATATATTTGTTTCAGGTGATGCTGTCTAAAAGTGACTTATTATACCCCCCTCCCCGCAAACAAATTCTGGGGAGTACACAGGAATCACCTTGTCCGTCCGTTTATCCGTCTGCCTGTCTTTCTGTGCAAACGTGTCCGGTCCATATATTTCCTATGGAAGAACATTAAAATCTACTGCTTCACACAAAGATTGCACATGACCTGAGGGTGTGTTATGTAGGGCTGGGTATTGAAATCTTTTTTTCGAAACGATACATATTGCGATACAGAGATGCGATATGCGATAGGTATTGTCGATACAGACAAATTAGAAAACACTCTCTTATTTTGTTTGTTGTGTGTTTTTTAAAGGGGTTACTTAGTATTTTTTGATTACAGCATAAATTTATAATAAAATAAAACTACATTTTAAATCCTTGTTATTTTATTCCCTTTGAATTGACAGTGCAAGACAGATTAATGTCATTGTTGGTCCATATTTTTTTTGAGAAAAACCAAAGCATCCACTTGGTCTGGTTTCAGACAGGCCCTTGTGCTTGAAACGATGTCGCCGCTAAATACTCTTTCCGAAGCTACAGATGATGCTTGAACACAGAGATATTCTTCAGCTAGAACAATCAAATTTGGAAAGTCAAAACTTCTTTCCCTCCAGAAAAGAAGAGGGTTTTCCAACATGCTTGTTTGTGGAATACCCCTGTATTTTTCTACTTCCCTTCTGGCAATCTCACTATCCTGTAAAGGAGGATCTACATGTGTTACTTCTATGTCATCATCAAACAACGAAGACAAAGCTGACTTTTTCAGTGGAGGCTGAAATTATAAAGTATAATTTTAATAAAAGATTTTCAATACACATTTCTTAGTAAATAACATACTGTAGCTAGTGCTTATTTATTATTTAATCATTAAGTAGAAATTAGCAAAATAGCTATCACCTCACAAGCAGCAACATCTTTTTCATCTTTAGGTGCAGTAGAGCTACTGTCAAGCTCCATATTTAAACTTGGTAGGGCTGGTTTGGCAGAAATTTCAGATTCAGCTCCTGGTTCTTGCTTGACAATTATGTTGTCTTTGCACAAAGCCACAATAGTAATACATTTGTTGATGATTCTCTCCCATGTTCCTTCATCAATCATGGTAGTTTTTTTAGTTCTGGGATCAAGGGCACTTGCCTCCTCTAGAAAATGAACAATGTTCTGTTGTGTGTATCTTACTGCTAGATTCTTGCCAACCAACTCTTTTATTGATTTCAAAGATGCCGAGTCAGTGTCACAAATTGTAAAATGCTTCCTAAGTTTTCCTAATAAAGGCAAAATAAGTCCTGCGGTAGGTGACTTTTCTTCACATAGTGCTACTGTTGCTGTCATCATTATTTTCATGACTTCCACAAACTCCTCACATCTCTGAATCTAACATTCCAGCCACTATCTTTCCCTTCTGATTTAAGCGTTTTACATTGTCATCAAGTAAAGTAGCTAAAATCGCAGGCCTTTGCTCAAGAAATCTTTCTAGCATGCTGTATGTGGAGTTCCACCTTGTTTTACAGTCCATGATTAATCTATGAATGGGTATGTTAAGTCCCTCCTGTTTCACTTTCAAGAGTTCAGTTGCTATATTGCTTTTGTGAAAAAATGTTACTATTGCCCTTACCTTGCCAAGGACTTTTTAAAGCGAAGGGTCAGTTAATGCCTTATTTGAGGCAAGGTTAAGCGTGTGCGCAAAGCATCCCAATTTTAATTCTGCTCCTGATACCTGAATTGCTATGTCCATATTTGAAGCATTATCCACTGTAATAACTTTAACTTTTTTCTCAATACCCCACTTCATCATAGCTGATCTGAGCTCAAATCCCACTCTGTCTCCAGTGTGACTGCCTCCAAATTTTTCTGTCTGCAAAACTTTTGAGCATAATTTCCACTCAGGTTTTTTCAAATAATGACAAGTAATTGTTAAGTAAGATTCTGTTGCGCGTGACGTCCATGCATCAGAAGTCAGAGCCACAGCTTTTGCTGCACTTAAATCAGTTTGAAGTTTAGCTTGTTCTTGAGATAAAAGTGCAGGTATTAATTGTTCACTGACAGTATGTCTGTTAGGTGGGTGATATCTAGGATCAAGTTGGTAGAGCATGTTCCTATAAAAAAAAATTATTCCTTACAAGATAGTATATGAAATAATTCAGGGAATTTATCATTGTTTATCAAAAGGAATTATCATATCGATGAAATAGAGTACATTACCTGAAAGCTGGGCTCTCAATTGTACTATAAGGTCGCAGGTCCTGGATTATGTATTCTACAACTGCATTAGTAATCTCGTTAGATTTTGCAGATGGCAACTTTGCTGTTCTAGCGATGGTCCATGGGGTAACAGAAGTAGAACTGACACTTTTCACTGCCGGTGGGGCTAATGTGTTTACGCTGACTGTGTTGATACTTGACATCGTTTTCACGTTACTTGTGGAAGTAATGGCAGCTAAAATATTTTACCAAATTGCTTTGAGTTTAAATAAACTATGATATATACATTAGAGATTTAAAAATTCTGATTGATATTTTATTTTCGGTTTCCACGATTCCATGATTTTGATTTGTTCGACGCGCCATTTTACCTACCGGAATTGCCTCCACGTTTCACGGTAGCAAACAGGTCAATGTTGTGATGCCGTCTAAGATGGGTAGATAGGTTTGTTGTTCCACCAGAACTTGCGACTTCTTGTAGACAAATATTACATTTTGCCTTTTTACAGCTGACTTTTGTGTAATGGCACCACACCTTCGACATGTTTATTTGCTTTGAAGTCATGCGTTTAGAGGATTTTAGATAAGTCGTTCGAAATGTTAGTCGCTCTGGCTTACCGAAAAGACATTTTTTTTCTCTTAATTAAACGTCGAATTAATCGAGCAATACGCAAGCATCTCTGTATCGGTTATCGTATCACTAAAAATACCGATATATACCGATTACCGATATATTGATCCAGCCCTAGTGTTATGACCTTGACCCAAGGTTATTCCGGCAGACCTTAACGTTCAAAAGGTGATTTATGCCAGAAAATGCTGAAGGTGATCCAATTCTCATATTTTCAGATGGAAGTCAACTAAACCTATGGTGCATGTGCTTATATCAGATGGCACACTAACTATGACACATACGAATCAAGCCTAGTGATCGCAAAAAATCGAATCGCACCAGTAAAGCAATCGTCTACCTCTCGTCTCGAATTATATGGTGTAGTGCTTGCATCTTTACTTCATCTAAAACTTGTAACAGAAATTAATTTTAAATTTAGCAAGATTTTGCACATAACTGATTCCATTCTTGTCAGAGCGCAAATATAACGAGAGAGTTACGGATTCGGAACATTCGTGACTTATATTATAGTATTTGATAAAAGTGACATATAGGTCCATCGGGCCGGGTGTTCGTATATTGTAATATAATTTTAAGTGATTATCTATTTTGTTTAACACATGTCACCATAATAGTTAAACACTACTGCTACTTCATATATAGCAACATTCCAACGCCCGCTAGATCCGTGCAATTTCTTAGGAAATTAACCTATTTAACCTAGTTATCAAAACGGCAAGAGGAGTTCGTCTTTTTACAGGTGTGAAATTTAATCTTTTATATCTTTACTAGATGAAATCCCGCGCAAGCGCGGGAAATTGAATTTATACCACTACCGACAGAAAAAAAATCCAATAATATATACATTGTAGTTTCTACTGACAGCCTACAGGCTTATAGCAGGAAGAAATACTTTGTTCAAAATCCCCCACCCCTTTGTTAAACTTTAAGATATTTTTTTAAGCCACTGGTTATGCCAAGTATTTGATACAAAAGACTGTATTCAGAAAAAAACTGAAATGTATTGATTAAAGCACAAAATTTTACAGCATAATTGAACAATGCCTTATTCATTAATTTTCTCTTTTCATGTAAGCAGGTTTATTACGAAATCCAAATTGTACTTCGGGTTCGTTGCCACGATGCTCTCAGTTTCATATATTTGTTTCAGGAGATGCTGTCTAAAAGTGAAGAGGAGCCTTAAAATAAAGACAATAAGGTTCTGATAAACATCAGTGAATGCTTATTATAACACCCCCCCCCCCCCCCCACGCAAACAAATTCTGGGGGGTACATAGGAATCACCTTGTCCGTCTGTCTGTGCAAACGTGTCCGGTCCATATCTTTCCTATGGAGGAACATTAAAATTTACTACTACACACAAAGATTGCTCATGACCTTGACCCAAGGTCATTCCAGCAAGGTCACTGACAGAAACGTGTCCGGTCCGTATCTTTCCTATGGATAATACTGGCGAGTTCCAATTTTACACAAAGATTGCACATGACCTGAGGGTGTGTCATGACTTGACCCGAGGTCATTTGGGCAAGTTCAAGGTCATTGACAGAAAAAGATAATAGACCTAAAGCAGACTACAGATCTTGTTTTGCACAAAGGTTCAAAAAGTACTAGCAAAAGTGAATATTTGTGTTCGGTTAGTGTTATTAATGAAAATAATCCATTAATGGGATATATGTATGTAGAAGTGACAGGACATTAAACCGTGTGTACATTGATCAAACTGTAGAGAGAGGTTTGGATTTACTTATAAGACTAAGTTACGTTAAGTTGTAATAAAATACAAATCTAACTGATATCATTTGCTAGAATATACTCGCTTATATTTCTTTGCATAGCAGTCATGGCAATCTTGGACCTTGATTGATATTTTTCTGCAGCCTCGTATTTTCAACAGTAATACTTACGTACGAATTCTTGGGTATACATGAGGCGCATTTAAGCATGGTTTAACTCATTTGATCCTCTTCTGTAGGCCTGTATGATAGATATGCAACGTATATCGAGGACTCTTAATTTTCTCAGTAATAAACGTTGTGTATTAGGTGCTTGATAAGTCTCGGGCGGTATGCTTTTCAGAAGTCTGTAAGTACAGTGCGTTTCCGAAAGTGTGTTACGTCATAACGTCAGTGACGACAAAGTAAGGGAATTCACGAATAATGATCGATTCCGTTCCGAAGTAGCCGCCATTTTGGCAATGTTTTCGGCACATCTTCAAAAAAGGTCACAGATAAGCTCATCGCTGAAGGAGAAAAATTGAAACGAAGGCAATACAGATTGCACAGTCATACGAATATTCACAACAACAGCTGAAGACGATGGCATCACAAGGGGTCCATGCAATTAGTCATGAACGACAACCGAGTAGTGGAAATACTGGATTCGAACCCTCGACGTAAGTATATCCGAAAGATAATAATGCATAACAAAACAAGAGGCCCATGGGCCACAACGCTCACCTGAGTAACTTTGGCCCTGCTGTTCTTCACCAGACTTTCCCCCATGTAATACATCTATTGTGGTCCCTATCCCAGGGGTCATGATTTTAACAATTTAGAATCTACACTACCCCAGGATACTTCTACATTAGTTTCAGCTTTTCTGGCCCTGTGGTTCTTGAGAAGAAGATTTTTAAAGATTGTTTCTATATATTTCAATGTAAAACTTGGATTCCCTATTGTGGCCCCGCCCTACCCCCGGGGGTCATGATTTTAACAATTTAGAATCTACACTACCCCAAGATGCTTCCACATTAGTTTCAGCTTTTCTGGCCCAGTGGTTCTTGAGAAGAAGATTTTTAAAGATTTTTTCTATATATTTCAATGTAAAACTTGGATTCCCTATTGTGGCCCCGCCCTACCCCCGGGGGTCATGATTTTAAAAATTTAGAATCTACACTATCCCAGGATGCTTCCACATTAGTTTCAGCTTTTCTGGCCCTGTGGTTCTTGAGAAGATTTTTAACGATTTTTCCTATATATTTCTATGTAAAACTGATTCCACATTGTGGCCCCGCCCTACCCCCGGGGGTCATGATTTGAACAATTTAGAATCTACACTACCCCAGGATGCTTCCATATAAGTTTCAGCTTTACTGGCCCTGTGGTTCTTGAGAAGAAGATTTTTTAATGACCCCACCCTATTTTTGTCTTCTCTTGATTATCTCCCCTTGTGAGGGGACTTGGCCCTTCATTTTAACAATTTAAATTCCCCTTCACCCAAGGATGCTTTGTACCAAGTTTGGTCAAAATTGGCCCAGTGGTTCTTGAGAAGAAAAATGTGAAAAGTTTACAGACGGACGGACAGACAGACAGACTGACGGACGACGGACAAAATGTGATCAGAAAAGCTCACTTGAGCCTTCGGCTCAGGTGAGCTAAAAACCTTATCATTTGAAAGATGAGCAATGATAAAAAGATGAGCATGAACAAGAACTAAGCTATTAACAATGTTATTGATTGCACAAGGACTACAATACCATATGGTATGTGCGTAAAAGAGCTGGAGGCAATGTTTTCAAACAAAAGTTCTGTTTTACTAAACTAGTCTATTCTGGACTATGAGTGTAACTTATCCCGTAAACAACACCTTATAGCATGGATAATTGCAAGTCTTAGGATCCTATAGAACTTCCTATTTCAGACAGATGTTTATCATCTACACTAAAGAGGGACTGTCCATTAAACGTAAATTTCGCCAATATATCATATATCATACCTTAAGGGAAGCACTGCTCCTACTATGCATGGATCTCCACTCACTCGATGGGCCAAGAGCTATTATCCTTGTCGACTCTGCTCCAGGTTTTATGGTCTTAGGTGAGGACGAACTCTTAAATCACTATCGCATCACCCTGAAAATTGGTAGAGTTAGGAACCCTAAGAACCCGGTAGCCGAAAAAGTTGTAGCAAAACTTGAGGAGAAAATACTTAAATAAGAGCCTGGAGGAGGCCCAGTCTCACAGCTTAGCCTTTCCACTGCCAGAGCATGACTTTTGTCTTCAGAATGGAAACACTATGGGTTTACGGAGTACATGTACCTGCAAACTCCCGTTTCCGTAACGAGGGCCTGTCAGCTCGAGAAATGTATACTCAACGGTATCAGTTCACACATGAACAACTTTCCATGATCGCCCTCAAAGAACAAGAAACCCTTCGTCCTACTTGAAAGTAATGTGTCTCTGTAAGCATTTATTCCCACAATTAATAGGAACAAGCTGTTTTGTTAGGATTTCCTATAGTTTGACTTTCTTTGTACCCTTCACTTTTTTCTCAACTAATTTGCATCTGTCAAAGAGTGTTCATAACTTTACAATGATAACATAACACAACAAAAATAAGGCAATCAAAGTACTGAAAGTACTGGGAAGCGCTAAGCATATTGCAATTTGAAATTCATCAAAATTATTTTTAATTTAAATTGCCTGTTGTATTGGAATTTAAGCAATATCTCGACAGTGCGGCTGCGTTAGGGCTAGCACAGTTGTTTGATACATAATCAAACATGTGAGTCATGAAAATTTCCCGTTGGGATATGAAATTCAACATTGTCTTATGCCTTTTTATTTTAAGCATTTTACATTTTCTTCTTCTGTCAAAAGATCAATGAATTTCATATACACGAAATTGCAAGAAAATATTTCTCCGCTTCTTTAAAAAAAACAAAATATACAAATTAAATGGCAGATATTTACTCCAAACAGCAATGTACAATGTATTTCTGAAACCTATTAAAAAGAAAGAAAAACATGTAAAGTATTTTCTTTCTCCATCTCCTTATAAGAGTCTCATAGGAAAATCGCAATTTATTGGAGGGATGGTCGACGAGTTTTCCGACCAAATTTAGACTATAAATGTAACTATACATTTGCTTGAAAATGTATATGTTTCTAAATGATTTTGAATACTTGAAAA